GTAATAATAAATCATGTACATGACTAATTTAATTTGAATGAAAAAATTAATAAAATGATAGATTGAAAATTTAATATTTTTTTATAAGAATAAAATTGATACGATTTAAAATATGAATATAAATTGAAAATTCATTTTGTTATATAAGGGTTGACTATCATAAATAAAACTATGAAGAAAAAGATGAATAAAACTTGTAAGCTTTAGCATAGATGTGTGAAAGAAACTGACGAAAGTAAATTCACCTTGTTTTATCGAACTTGTATTGAAAGTTGTTTGATCTGAAGCAGGTCTATAGCCTAAAAACTATTTGTCCAACAACAAATTATTAGAAGTCAACTCCCGAAAAGGAATAATTTATAAAAGAATTCAACACAAACAAAGAAATAAAGATATATACTAATGAGGACATACAATCCTTTCCTAAACAAATCATTCCTATTTGGGTCGATACTATAAAAAAAAATCTTCTAGACAAATATAAGTTAAATTTTGAACTTTTATTCATGGCAATTTATAAAAGAATCCAACACAAATGAAAATAAAGATTTGAACTTCTAAACTTTATAGGTTGTTGGTACGTGTCCAAAAATATATCGTTAATAATCTCAGTCACCTTAATATATTCTCAATTGACTATGATACATGTCAATTAAATATTTGTTTTTTTAAAAAAATATTTATCTAAAAATTAATTCATTTATTGCCAAACTAACAATTTGTTAACGAAGATTTGTTAGTTTTGAACGTAAATAATGCCTCTATTGTTGCTTTAACATATCCGATGACTCGACTCATTATTGTTTCCTCAATTTTTGCACCAAGGATGTAAAACGTGAAACTTCTCTATTAAGTCATTAAAACCTTCTTCTTTAGCAAACAAATAATCAGTAAATAAATTGAATTAAAACAACTAAAAACCACCAGAAAAAGAAAGAAGCAGGCACACGCAGTGTGAGACCAAACAATACATGATATATATATATATATATATATATATATATATATATATATATATATATATATATTTTGATAAGATGGGATCGGATAAGAATAAAGTATTAAGAGATAAAGGAAAAATAAGTTTTACGATATTTTTTTAGTTTACTGATAAGTTTAAGTTCAAAATTTATTTTCAAAAGAATTCTATTCGTTTTATACTCCTTAAATTACCCTTTAAAGAGATAAAATATTGATTTTTTTTTTTAATATTCCACAACCATCAGTTTTAGCACATTCACGATTTAGCCTTTTTTTTTTTTATCAAATTCTAATTAGTTATTATTCTTGGCATCATCAACTTAAAAACCTTTAGAAAAAAATCCTTGAAATTTATAAATTTTTTTTGATATATATATATATATATATATATATATTACTTTTATTTTATTTTATTTAACTTAGAAAGCTTGATGATGCATACTTGACGCTATGTTATTAAACAAAGAATAAATTGATAGGTTAATATTTTGTGGGGTAGGTTGTGGATGTAAAAAGATTGATTATTATTTTTTCCTTTGAAAAACAAAATTGAAAGATGAAATTTTTAATTACAAGATATATCATAAAATTTATTCGTCTTTTGCATATCAATATTCCCACAATGCTTGTATAAAAATCAGAGGTGGATGGTCCCATATCTAGATATTTTCTTGCTGTTTTGTGCGTCAGGATATTGGCTTCGCTAACGTCAGCGCACTCAAGCCTCACATAATTGTCCATTAAAAAAAGCTAATGAAATTAATGGTATATTTGGTTCCTTTATTTTAAATTTCATCTTGTTCGATCCTTTTACTACATATTGTATCGTTTCCAATCCCTCACGATCATGCTTCTCTTCAATAACGGTTTTTTCACTAAAAGACCATATTAATACGTGATAGAATATAGAATGATGATATTAGCATAGAAAATTGGATTTTGTGTTTTAGCACATTCACCATATTTATACCAAGGATATAAAACGTGAAACTTCTCTATTAAGTCATTAAACTTCATTCTTCTTCGACAAACTAAGAACGAGTAAATAAATTGAATTAAAACAACTAAAAATCACTAAAAAAAGAAGCACGCACCCACAATGTGAGACCAAACAATCCTGAAATTCAATATATATATATATACTATATGAGCATCATGTATTTTGGTAAGATGGGATGGGACAAGAATAAAGTATTAAAAATTCACTTTTAAGAGAGAAAGGAAAAATAAGTTTTACGAATTTTTTTTTTTTTAGTTTACTAATAAGTTTATTTCATAATTTCTTTTGAAAAGAATTCTATTCTTTTTATACTCCTTAAATTACCCTTTAAAGAAATAAGATATTGATTTTTTTTTTTTATATGATATTTCACAACCATCAGTTTTAGCACATTCACGATTTAGCTTTTATTTTTTTTTTGCCTTGGGTTTGTATTAAGTAGATTTCAAATAGGTAACTAATTAGTGGAATTATCTTTATTACAAAAGTTTGTGTTTAATAATAATACCTGTATAATTAATTTTTTTTATCAAATTATAATTGGTTATTAATCTTTGTATTATCAATTTAAAAACCTTCAGAAAAAAAAATCAGTAAAACTTATATATATATGTATATATATATATATATATATATATTACTTTTATTTAACTTAGAAAGCTTGAAAGTGCATACTTAAAGCTATGCTATTAAACAAAGAATAAATTGATAGGTTAATATTTTGTGAGCTAGGTGGTTTGCTCATTAAACCAATCTCATATCATACATACTAAAAAATACTCTACTCATTATCTTGTCTCATCATCCATTAAAAATCATTTGTTAATTTCTTTACTCAGCTTCGGACCAATTATATTATACCACTGCTAATATCTTATTTATATCCATTTACCTATTAATTTTTTCCCTTAAATTAAAGATTTTTCTTTCAATTTTTTTATTAATTTTTTTTGTTATAAATTCTTTTTTTTTAACTCTTTTTATATAGTAAAATAATTGGTGATAACTGTTTTTTCTTTTTGATAGGTTATTGGAAAAACTGGGATGGTAGATGTTTTGAATATTAAAGATGTATGAGTAAAGCAAAGTCAGCATATTTTATTTGGTCCATATCGGATAGGCTCAGAGAGCGAAAATAAATTGGGTAGTTGGGCTAGTCTTAGCATTTCATAAGGGAACCCATCTTCAGTCTTCACAAATTAATAATAATCGATGAATATTATCAAAATAAAAAATAAAAACACGAATTCAACAATTTTATAAATAATATATAGTTTCACATAGTTTAATATATTTATATTTTTTTCAATACTTAATTTGGTACTCGTTAAAAATAAAACTGTTAATATTTTTTTATTTATGTTTTGCAAATAGGAACGAAATAAATCCAACTCCCGCTCTGTAAACTGCCCTTCTTCACAGGGCTACTGCTCTCCACATGTTATCATAAGAAAGAATGCAAAATAAAAATGCATGATGTAAAAAAAAAAAAAAATACAACCTGTATATTCACACATAAACACACACACTATGCTTTTATTCATCAATTAAAAAAAATTATTTATTTTAAAATTTTATTTTTTAGTATTTTTTTTATGTTAATGAGTGAAAAATAGATATTAATAGAATAAAAAAATATTTATATTCATAAATAAATTACCTATTAACATAAATGTATAATACTATTTTATTCATATGTAGCTCATTGTCTATTAAAATATTTTAAAAAGATAATTAATGAATGGGTTTGATAGAGTAACTATTTTATTTCCGACCTATTCCCATCCCTATTTGTGGAGGTAAAAAGATTGATTTTTTTTTCATTGAAAAACAAAATTGAAAGATGAAATTTTTAATTACAAAATATATCATAAAATTTATGCGTCTTTTGCGGATCAATATTCCCACAATGCTTGTATAAAAATCAGAGGTGGATGGTCCCATATCTAGATATTTTCTTGCTGTTTTGTGCGTCAGGATATTTGCTTTGCTAACGTCAGCGCACTCAAGCCTCACATAATTGTCCATTAAAAAAACCTAATGAATTAGTGGGTATATTTGGTTCCTTTATTTTCAATTTCATCTTGTTCAATCCTTTTACTACATATTGTATCATTTCCAATCCCTCACGATCATGCGTCTCTTCAATAACGGTTTTTCACTAAAAGACCATGTTAATACGTGATAGAATATAGAATGATGATATTGGCATAGAAAATTGGATTTTGTGTTTTTGAAAAAAGTATTGTATCATCACATCTAGGTAGGTATTAACGTTTTATAACAACAATTCTTCTATAAAGTCTTGAGAGTCATTGGGATTAAACAAAAAAAAAAAAAAAACAATAAAAAAACCAAAACAATACAAAACTAAGATAAGATAGACTAAATAAACCACTAATTGAATCAAAAAACAATGAAGCAAGTATAGAGTAAATTATAAATTAATCCATCCAATGAATTTATTTTAAAAATTAATTATTTAGTTTTTAAGTAGTATTATCATGTTTAATTTAATATTTATATAAAAAAAATCTTTTTTCATTATTCTTTTCATAATATCTATTTATTTTTTAAAACAAAAAAGCATAAAATAAATAAAATAAATAATTAGTTTTTAAAACAAACAACATTAATCAATTTATTTTCTATTTAAAACAATAAAGGTTATGAAAAAATTGATGAAAAAAATATTTTTAGAATAAAGTAAAATTAAATTAACGGTGATCAATAATCAATGCTAATTAATAGGTTCGAAACAAATTTTTGAAAACTAGGGGATATCTTATCTCCTCGCCATAAAACTTTTGTTGTTTAGTTATTGCATCTTATCCGTTCTTTGTACTTGGCCATTAAAATTTTGCTACAAATCATGATGATAAGCCGATTAGTCAAATAATAGAGCGCCGCCCAACTCCATAAAAGTCCTGACTCTTTATCGACGAACGCTTATCAAAAACCCCTAAGCCTCGCGGCCTTATCTATTATTACTATTGTCAGTTTCTCTCTGACTCTGTGAATGGACTGTAGCCTTTGCAGCACCAGAAGCAAGTCTTTCTCTCTTCAATTTTTACCATCGGCGGTAAAATCCCGTAAGTTACGCTCAATTTCGTCTTCCAATTTGACATTCAAGTTGTCGACTGCTTTCCTTAACTGGAAAGTAGATCAACCGAGACACGGTGCTGCGGTTGTTGTGGTGGCAAGAGCGGGATCGAGCCACTGCGAGCCGAGTAGCAGCAACAGCAGCTTGAACACTCCGCTGGAGTTGAGGTCTGAGGCTGGGAAGTTTTTGAGTGGCGTGTTTCAGAATCAGAGACAGCTTTTTCATGTTGCTGTGGCTGATGAGTTGAAGTTATTGGCCGATGATAGGGACAGTTCTTTGAGTCGCATGCTTCTTAGCTCTGGCTCCGATGAAGCTTCTCTTCACAGGTAATTTATTGCTTGATGCAATATTTAGTGTTTTAGTATATCATGTCGTTTGGTCTATGCAGAGTAAAGTAGTTCATGTGTTTGGTGGAGTTGACATCAATTTTTGTAGTTGGTAAATACAGAATGTTGGCTTGGTCTAGCTATAGATCGAATCATATAATAATTTCTCGAAAATTGGTTCTCCAATTCGCTCAGTCTGAAGCCTTACTGTTTTATTCATATGTATCCCTTTTTTTATATCCTGTTAGAGTTCATTCATTCCTTTGAGCATCTTTGTTTTGGATTTTGGATCTTCTTCACTGTATATCAGTTTACTGTCGAAGAAGAAGCGTTCTATATTATTATTTTTATACCGTATAATGCTTAGGCTGAAGCTAGTTTGAAGCTTGCGGTTGCATAGGTGAAACCATGATTGAGGAGCAGTCAGGCATCTAGGCGTTAGCCGCTTAGGAGCGGATGAAAGTTAACTTATAAACTTATACATGGCTTGGTTGGTTGAGAAGCCATGTTTTATGTGATAATCAACATACATGAAAGAGGCTTGTTTTCTGATGGACCTCCTCATCAATAAATCGGAAGCTATATTTATTCCTCCTCTTAAGCATCACGTTGAAGATTGCGAAGGATAGCCAAACAATCAAATTGTGTTTTAAAAATTAGCTTGAGATGATGATTTCAGTTGTTCAATTTAACTTCACATTTTGACAAGACTTGTTGGAATTTATGGTCTAAGAAAATTAAATTTACAAATTAAATGGGTAGAGGGTTGCTTGTTTGCACAACATTTAATTGGGCTCGGGCTATTAATGACTGCTGGTTTACAATTATATATTATTATGCTGAACAGCAGTACCTGTCTACAAAGCCTCACTTCTTATTGAAACTCTTCTTTTCCTTTTCCTTTTCCTTTATGGAAGCCATGGCTGTTTTTTTTTAATCCTAAATTTATCATCTGTTTACACATTTCATACATTGAGAATCTGAATTGTGAATTTCTCCCTTCTTTTTCCAGAATGGACACTTCACTTGTATAAATCACACAAAATTTCCTTCTGCCATATGGAAGTGACTGATAACGAATGATATGCTAGTGTTGGCTGCACCTTGCTTCATGCATTTAGGCAATCGTTGCTATAACATTACTAACCAACTAGTCTAGTGCTATTTTTTTGTCACTTTTGCACCTTAAGGATCATATAACAGATGCGCAATTGTAGAATGATTCCATCACCTAATAGTTCTGCATCCGGACATCTTGATTGCTCCTTTAACAAATGATTTATATTACCTAATTAATTGATACTTTTGAATGCTAGGAGGATTGCTCAACTGAAAGAGTATGAGTGCCAAGTTGCCGTTGAAGATGTCATGTATATGTTAATTCTTTACAAATTTTCTGAGATCAGAGTCCCTTTGGTTCCAAAGCTCTCTAGGTGCATCTACAATCGCAGGCTAGAGATACGGCCTTCAAAGGACTGGGAACTTGAGTCCATTCACAGCTTTGAGGTCTTAGAGATGGTTAAGGACCATGTCTCTACAGTTATTGGCTTGAGAGCAAATTCTAGTGTGGCAGACAGCTGGGCAACAACTGAGATCCAACAGCTCCAGCTTGGTCGAGTGTATGCAGCCTCGATTTTATATGGTTACTTCCTAAAATCTGCGTCCTTAAGGCATCATTTGGAATGGTGCCTGGCTCTGCCCCTCCAAGATATTCATCTCGGTCATAGGACAACCCCTCGGTTTCCTGGGTCAGTGCCTTATGGATTTACAAATCTTGGTTTTGGTCACGTAAGCAATGAGAAATCTACATTGCAGGAAACACAATCAAACTGGCCAAAATCAGAACACGAAAAATTGAAGTGCTACATGATGGGGTTTGATTCTGAGACAATGCAGCGATGTGCGAAACTGAAATCTAAGGAGGCTGTGAATTTGATTGAGAAGCACAGCTGTGCACTTTTTGGGGATGAGAAGACCGGTGTGCTTGAAAATGATGAGGTGATCTTGACCTCATTTTCGAGCTTGAAGAGATTGGTTTTGGAGGCAGTTGCATTTGGTTGTTTTCTTTGGGACACCGAAGAATACGTCAACTCTGTATTTAAGCTTAAAGACAACTGAAGGCGAGTTTCAATAGAGGATTGATTATTGGGTGAAACTCTTCTTGTACATAGGAGCTTGATTGCTGCATTTGACCTTTGTTTGCAAGTTCCCTGAGTTTTTTGATAGTGTACAGAGATACTATAAATAGAACATATATTATAGAAGTGTTTTCCCTAATCACACAATTCTGCAAAGCGAGTTTTGAGTTCTTGGGGCTTTTTTCTGCAAGTGGCAATAGCACAGGTTTGATGTAGCATGCCATTTCTTTTCTTCAGTAGTTTCTATAATACAGTGGATATGGACAACAACAGCAGAGATATCTGTTTCTTAATTGGAAGCGGTAGTAGGGAAGGCAACTGTTTAAACATCTAATAATTTCTGCGGTCCGAGTTCTTAGTTGATAAGTCTGTTTTGGGCGAGGTTAAAGCTTCGTTTGCAGTGTAGTTTTTGCACATGGGAGTACATTACAGGACTTCTCCAGACGTAATTTAAGCAAATAATATCTTGCTTTATGGTGATGGTTGTTTTCGGTGTCGTTAATAACGTTAGGAGTTAGGGCATTGGATTGTCCTAGGATTGAGGAAGGAAGAGATTCAAGTTGTTCAACTAATTTTCAGCTAAATAGGTCAAAAAATTTCATCTAAATTTTAGTCTATTTGCTAAACAATCTTTGATCTTTGAATTTTTGAGCTTAAGATTCTCTTAAATAGTTATGTGATGAAAATTATTTAGCAAAATTTATCTAGGATTTTTAAAAAATTTTAGGATCATTTTCGGGTTATTTTTTACTTTATCTAATGTTTTATATTTTTAATGTAAAAAAATAAAAATAAAACATTTTTTAACCCTAAAACTCTAGAATTTTTTAAGAAAATAGATTGATTTTTTTCTAATATTTATGCAAAATTTCGGCAAAATACAAAATAATAATAATAATAATAATAATAGTTTTAGAAATGTAGATTGTTATTTTCAAATAAAAGTGAGGAGATGTTTGATTCATTAGCTCTATTTTGCTCGTTTGATGGTTCAACCATTTCCCTCATTTGAGATTATTTCTTCTCATGGGTTAGGTAATCCAGAACCACCGGCAAATTAACTAGCTTTCGTGGATGGTGGCCCATTGTTCAACTTATTTTTAACAAATATATGAAAACATAAAAAAAGTAATTATTTCATTTATGAAAAAACAATAACTAAATAAAATAACATAAAATGATTTATTTTTTTAACATAAATTAATTCTATGACTTGAACACAATTAAAAAAGAATCAAATTATTATTTTTATATTTGTATACATAAAAAAAACATAAGGGTATTATTGTTACATGTTGTTCCATTATATCTCATGTTTACCAGACACATAACAGAATGGTCGTATAATCGAGTATAATGTGAACCAATAGAAAACATAATAGTTATTTTCTCTGTTCGTTCCAGTCTAGTTCTTTTATTTTATCCAACTACCAATGGCACCTTAATATGTGTGCACAAAAGCTGTTGCATGCACCATTAAAGTTTATGACAACCTTGTTGAGTAAATTATAAATTAGTCCCTTTAGTTTTAAAAAACATATTAATTAGTCTATTTTATTTCAAAAATTATTATTTAATCTTTTAATTAGTGTTGAACGTGTTTAATTTAATATTATTTTTATTTCATAAAAAAAATTTTTTGCCATTAATCTTTTCATATATTTTTATTTTTTAAAACAAAAAATTAAAATAAAGTAAAAGAAGAAAAAGATTAAATTATAAGTCGATTTACTTTTGAAATTAAAAGGACTAATTGATTTGTTTCTTGAAACAAGAGAGACGAATTTATAATTTACTCCAACCTTGTTGAAAGACATCATCGAGGAAGACCGCTTTGGCAATGCAGTATCACAAATAAAAGATGAGAAAAGAAACAACCACTATTTCCCCAGCGAGCTTTGGTTGAACCCTTCCTCCCGATTTGTTCGAGCCCCGCCAAATTATTGCCCGGTTTATGGAAGCCGTCTAAAATAGCAAGAAATAACATAAGAACAAAGGCGATTGCCGAGCAAAATTAAAAATTTTAAATTCAATGAACAATGGGGAAATTTTTTATGCTCGCTAATGTTGCAACCTCGGAAAATAAATAGCTATGGCGAACTCGTGAGCCTGGATTAGAGATTCAACTCGCAAATAACTTGCTATGAGATTAGATATATATATATATAACTCGAAGCAACGGATTACCTACTAATTTGCAACGGTATTTACGGACAAATGATATAGACGACCACTTAATTTTGATGAGATTTAGCGTGCTAATTTCTCATAAATGTGAGATGATATAACAATGGGTTATCTACGTTAACGACTATTATTCCATCACAATACAATGATGGATTGTTGTTGGTCGGTGTTCTACAATAAATATAGCAATGGAACATTGTATCGCCAATTAAAAGAAAATGCAATTTGGTAAATTCAAACAACTATGAACTCTTATAGATAGCAACAAAATCACATTTGTTGTTAAAAAAAAAAAAAAAAGAGCTTAATCTAGCGAGTAGCCCCTTCTTCCTTCATTTTCTTCTCCTCCCTCACTAAAAGACCCACACCAAAAATGTTTTGACTAGCCACCACTAAAACTACCAATCATTGTCTTGTCGCCTCTATCCCCCTTATTCATGTAAGCTTAGTTATTCCTTTTTTCCCATAACTATCATCCCTATCAAACCACAGTTATCTTCACCTCTCGATCACCATCATTAAACTCTCACCGATGGCAGCTGCGATGACCACCACTGCTTCGACCACACTCGTGGCCACTTCGACCATGCCAACCATTGTGCCGGCCATCGTTCCAATTGCTCTAGCCACTATTCCGATTGCTCCGGCCATTTTAGTCACTCTACCATACAAGGGTACACCAAGTTTGTCAACGAGCAATCACTCCTCCTCGCCAACTAATTGAAATAAATCATTCTTTATCGGGGTTAAAGAAGTCGAAACTAATCCGATAGAAACATTATATCACATATTATTCTAGTTATATTTAGTTTATTTGCTATTTTTTATATCTTATTATGATAATCTATACTCATATTCATATGGAAGAAATAAACTAGGAGTTTAGAATAATTGTGCATAAAAGTTAGAGATTCCAACATGATTAACTTAGACCTTTTGGATTTTTTATAAATATTTTAAAGAATTAAAGTTAGATTTAGAAGAAGTGGTCTTCGGAGACATTGTAGAGGACATCTCAAGATTTCTATAATGATATAATAGGTCAAAATCCAAGTTCGTTTGGGTCTCCAAAAAATATTTCATATTCGGTCTAGAAAGCTAACTCGAATCCTATTTAGAGTCCAGATCGGTTATGAAAATTAATCCATATCCGGAGTTTCAAAACTCCAATTGATGTAAGGCCAAGCCCATAGAATACTTGAGAGACATACCTATAATTATTATGAGGTCCCGAGTCCAAAATAGGTTGGTCTTATGAAAGAATTCAGCTACAAACCGAAATCCTAGGATTGAGCAAAGAGGTTGAGTCGGTGTCGATATTTAGCTCATGACTGAAGTTGTGGATCTCCAATTGATGTAAGACTTAATGTGTTAGAAAGATACAAAACAGGGCTACAACTTTCATGAAAAAATAAAACTCTAATTCGGTACATATCAAGTCCATTAAAGATTATTAAAGATCTATAGGCTTAATTAGTTAGGGACACGGGATGAAGCAACAAAGACACATAGGCGGTAGCTTAGGACAAAAGATGAAGCAACAAAATCACATGAAAAGTAGCTAGGGACATGAGATGAAGCAACAAAAGACATGAGATGAAGTACAAATGGCACATAGCTCAAGCAAACCATGTGCCACTCGTTGTTTAAGGCTCCAAGTCGCAAGCCACAATAAACAAACCATATGTCCTTATGAGGTGGTTATGTGTGTGTTATAACCTTACCTTTTAGCTATAAATAAAAAATTTAAGATTTTTTATTGATTCATCTTTTCATCCCAGCGAGTCACACCCACTTTTGTAAGCAAAACCTTACAACTCTAAAAAAACTCTTTCTTAGTTGAAGAAAAGTTGAAGCCTTTGGTAAAATTATTGTGAGATCTAAACGGATTTTATCTCTAAACCTATTCTTTTGAGTATTTTATGTTTTTCTATGTCATATGAATATGGTTGTATGTTTGATTGATTAAAGTGCACGCTAGTTGATTAATCATTATAATCTATTACTAACTAAACATTCAAGTCCGTAATTACTTATCTAAACTTGCTTATGATAGCAACTAGGGGTTAATGATTATAAATGAGTTTTCTTTTAATCTTTTAAAAAACATAAAACTAGATTAAATTCTTTTAGCGTCTAGGAGAGTTGTTTAGCTTCACCTATCTTTCTATTATTTAATACTATTATTAGATTAAATTTACATAGCATCTACTATGTTGTTTACTAATTAGGAATTAATCAAATAGTGTCTATTTGATTAAAAAATCATTAAGGAAAAATTGAAGATAACATATATGTTATTGTCTTACAATAAATATTCATTATAAGAATGGATTAATATTTGAATTAATGATCAATGATTGAACCAAAAGTGAAAACAATCCTTTATCCTAACTATATTTTTGTGATTCGATTTACCGAGGAAAAAGAAATATATAAATTTGTGACAAGTATGACACACTATCATAACCCCAAAAGGTATTTTGGTCACAACATATTTTGACAATATCTCAATAGTCGTTATAGTATTTTGACTGCAAGTTAAGTTATCTAAACCTCAAGTTTTAATTCGTGTCATTTTTTTAGAATAATTTTGAATTAATTATGGATATTGATGAAATTAAGATTAAATTTATTATATTGATGATTATTGAAGTGTGTCGATATATGTTATAACATATTAAACGTGAGAGGTCAAAAAACTCATTAGAATTCGGGAGAAAAAGGTGGTGTCAATGCTCTGTAATGGAGCTACAAAGACATGAATTAGATTTTAATTTGAATGGATTATCA